GAGCCGAGAGACCGGCTTGTTTTGAAGGAAAAAAAAATTGGCTGGGGCCACCATCCCCAGTGCCTTATAAGGCAGTGTTTCTATCCAGCTAGCACACTGAAGCCGGGTCTGGTCTGCTGCTGCTGTTTGCCTGAGAGCAACTCAACTACACTCCAGAGAAGAAGCCAAAACTCAGGTTGACAAAGAGGGGATATCATTTATCCCAATAGCTACAGAGGAAGAAAGTCTAGTGTAGGTGAGAAATGGAGTGACAATAAGTTAAAGGGGAGGGGAAGAAAGAAAAAAGCTGAAGAAAATGGGAGATGAGAAGACAAAAAAATTAATGGAAAAAAACAAAACAAAATGAAGCATATACGAGTAGGAATAGGGAGAGAAAAAAAGGGCGTGAATAACCAGTACTAAGCAAAAGAGACAGCATATGTATTAAAAGGCTTTCCCAACTAATGCTGAATAAAAAGAGCATCACTCCAAATGATCTTAAAAGAAATGGACAGGGATTGCCCCCCAGAGATAAACTGGAAGGCATCATACAAGCTTTTAGCTCTATTTCCCATATCATTCACACATAAGTGCTGTGCATTAAGTTATCTGCACGCCCTGGGCCTGCAAAAGTATGAAAACACAGTTAACATACCTGCAGTGTGTTTAACAAGCCTGAGGGGAGGGGCTGAGAGAAAAGTAGGGCCAGGGAAAAGAGATAAGGCTAGAAAGCGAACGGGGAAAGTGCAGGCAGGACAGAAGTCTATGGAACTTTGAGCCCCATGTATGGCTGCCAACTATTTACTCAGTGAGGTCATTTCCTTTAGGACAGCAGAAACTTGAGTGATTTGCAAATAACCTGTCCATATTTTAGTTTTGTCTTTTTCTTTAATTCCGGGAAAGGCCCCATCTTGTGCTTGCTCCTTAACAATCACTGCCTGTACTTGGAGCTGCCAAGTTAAGTCCTGCACTTCAGTCAGCAGTGGTGTCCTGCCAAATAACGATCCCTACCGTTTGCACAAGGGGAAGGTTGCTGAGACTTGAGGTTACGCTTGATCGAGTGCTGATAGAGGCAATATAGTGATCTACAGTTTATATAACCAGAGAGTGGGGCGGCATTAACGCATCATTTAAGTATTATTTTTTCCCCTGGCTGTTCTGTGGCTGGATTTACAGATAGCAGCAGCTCTGCCCCATCTCATCACAAGAGTTGAAGATTGACTAAGGAAGGTGACCGAGTTTCCCTGACAGATGCTGCACATTCCTCCACGTCAGTTTTCCTTATCCTAAGGGAAGCCTGCCCACTGCTCCTTAAATGCATTACCTTCATGATCACTTAAAAAAGAAAAGGAAAGGGGAAAAAAAGCACAAACCTGAAATTAATTACCGAGTTTCCTTCACTAAGCTGTTAGTGAGAAGAATAAATAAAGGGTCCACACAATGTGGCTCCCTCTGGTACCGTTGCCATGCCACAATAACAGGGGATTTGTGATTCATTATTTACCAAATATGAGCCTGTGAGCAATTATCTAGGCACTTTAAGTATGCATGTTTTTCCTTCACCTGCAACCCCCCCCACCCCCACCCCCAAAACCCAAACAAAAACAAGACATATCTTAGCATTTATTGTTTGCGTGCATGCGTGTGTCTGAACACACCGAGCAGCAAAACTTCTTGATCCCAGCGACAGCACCGAGGCTGCTAAAAATGGAAAACCGCAGCCTGTTCTCTCCTACGCATGCTTCCCACTCAACTTTTGTCTCAAACACTCAACACCTCTCTCTCCCCAGCTCATGTGCAGGAAGTAAACACCACCGGTGGTCAAGTTATGCCGAATTCTTCCTCAGGACTTGACCAGGATTGCCTCAAGTTGTATGGAGGGGGGCGGGAGAACCCCAGGGGAAGGGATGTATGGGAAAGGGGGGGTGGGCTGAGTCAGAAGGGGCCCATTAAAAGGGGTGAGGTGATGCTTTTTAAGATAGAGCTGACAGTGTGTTTGCACTCTGTCACATCCAGTTAGGGGCCCCAGAAATTCAAACACCACCCTCTAACTTTAAAGCTTAAGTAGGCAACATCACACAATGTTGGCTAAAAGTTACAGTTAATAGGTCTGAAAATAGCTTGGGATTCCAGCTTTCCTAGGGTCCAGAAAATAACCGAGATCTAAATTTATTTTGGGAGAACAGAGCTGATCTAAATTGTCGGAAGACCTCTTTTCCCATTTAAGCCCAAAGTCGTGATATACACTGGTGTAATGGAAGAATTTTTCCACTGCCTTATGCAACGTTAGGTCATCACAAAACTTAAAGACAGACACATTTAAACAGTTTCAATTCTAATACATCAGTCCTTCGCCAACTTAGAAAGCAAGAGTTATTTGATTGTATCAATGGCAATAATTGCAAACGCTATCCTTATTTGGCTCAACATCCATTACTTCTGGGCCATCATCCATACCCTGACAATCACTGAGCTGCTAAAGAAATCACCAGATGTGGGTGGTTAATGAAAGGTCTGCAATCAGGCAAGTCCATCGTCTGTTGGCCCCAAAAAAAAAAAAAAAAAAAAAAAAAAAAAAAAATCTTTCAATTGTACGTCACATAAGCGGCTGTACAAACAGGTCTGACTCATCCCCGCACAGGGTAAACACAGGGACCTGAGACATCGTTCACAATCTCATAACTTCTGACCACTTTACCTCTGAGGAAAAAAATTCAGGGAATGCACCGTCTCACTCCCCTCTCCCGAGGAAAGCAAAATAGAAATGGTTGCCAGGCTGTAGGTGAATAAGAACCAGCGTGTTGATGTAACAGCACACGGACAACCAGATTAAACAAAGATTACTGGTATGATTTTTTTTTAAGGGAAGATAAACAAGAGTATGCAGATGCTACTGTGCTGATATTACACAGCATGTTCAAATTTCCTTTTTTTATTGTTAGTTATGTGGAATCTGCGGTGTGAACTTCTTCTGGCTTCTGAAGTGGGTTGTGCTGGGAAAACTTCGAGAACCAATGGCCAAACTGGAACATCGTCCCAGATCGCTCAACAAAAAGGCACTGACATTTATACCACAAGGGTTTTGGATTATCACAGAAAATAAGCTCTGTGGCAAATTGAAAGTTTATGATATTTACATTTTTCTTTTCTTCAAATGGAAAAATCTCCATAAACTTGCACCAATATGACCACCACGAAGCAACTTTGTTTGCTGTGATGGCATTGAAATCCAAAAACAACTTATGTGGTCTTACTCAGCCACTTCCTCTTGTGGTGCCACTTTGGCACTTATTAAAAGAACAAAGCTAAAGCAAATAAAGAAGTAGTCACCCAACTTGAAGAAAAAGAAAAAAGCTTGCAAGGGGGAAAAGGGGATCAGACAAATGACACATTATTAGAAATGAACAGGGAGACTTTTGCAGATATCACCCGAGGGAGATATTAAACCACAAATACCCAAATCAGTTGGCATCAAATGATGGTTACCCTGTCAGCTCCCAAGTGGTCAAAGTCTGAGAAAAGTCTGATTATCCCAAAGAGAAAACAGCAAGCGAGTGGTTGTCATGGTCAAACTACATAGATTATTTCCAGCAGTAAGAACACATCTGGCTTGGACAATCTCCCATTGTTTGCTACATCTGAGAAAAAGCTCTTTTGGACAATGACCAGACATGACTCTTCCCATGTTACATTCATGTATGTATAAACACACACACAGAGGCTATCTTAAATTTGCGGCCAATATTCAAATGGGGGGTAAGATAGCTGTCAGAGAAAGACAAACATGATAGATTTTACATGCCTCTCAATTCTAATCAAATGCAATGCTATATGTAAGCACCAGAGCGTACTAAAATCCCACCCTACAAAACAGAAATATTCAAATCAAAATGATCTCCAGTCAGAATCTAATAGCAGCTGCTGAGAGTACAATAGACTAAACACATACTCACTGTTTTACCTCTTTAAAGTTAGTTTTTCTCCTTCAGCTACAAAGATATCATGAAACTAATCTTCAATGATTTTCATCATTACTACTACTACTACTACTACTAAGGGACAAAATTCCAGTTTCCAGAAGACTATATTAATTAACTGTAAAATTAATTAATTAAATTAATGAATTAAGCTGGTGGGCAAATATAGAGAACCGATTTAGGCAATATCCAGAAACAAAAAAGTAAGCCATTCTCACATTGTTCATGACACTGACATGATATAACCTAACACTTCCAATAACTTATATATTTGTTTTCCTTAATACTATTGCTCGTTTATTATCTTGTCACTTATTTATATTCGGGAGGTCAAAGGGGAAAAACAAATGGAAGATGAATACAATTTAAATAATAATTAAGTGGAACTTCAGATAAAAATCTACACATTTACCTGAGTGGTTGAAACAGTAGGAGATACGCAGTTTTACAACTTCATACTAATTGTTTTCTTCTCATTAAAATAGATAAATGTTAGGTGGTACAGGAGTATGAGACAAATTTTCATATTTTCTTCTACTTTAACTTTTAATTTAATTCTAAACACTGTTATTATATATATTTTCTGATATTAATTGCTGCCAATATGGTTTATTGGATTTTTGGCAGACTGGGTCCTCCATAGCCAACATCCTATTTGCATACCAGTGTAGGAAGACTGCAATGGTTCTGTGGTTACATCTGGGACTGATAGGACTACAGTGGCTTGGTGGGCCCATATGTTATCTAAAAATATTAGTCTCCATGAAAACACCCAGGGGAGCTATCTCAAGTAGTTAATCCTAATCTGTAGACAGGCCTCAAAGAGCCCCAAACTGCTCTGTCTGCACCCAGATTTAACTATTAATCAGGCTTGTCTACAGTGTCTCCACCAGGCGATAACACTTAAATCATAAACGGCACCGTTTTAACATGAAAAGGTGTTTAAATGCAATTAGCTCACCTGAGGGCGTGCATGCGTGCCTAGCCATTCAGCGATCAGACAACATCATTAATAACCTATGAAGTGGATCCCACTTGACTCACCAGTAAACTTTCCAGGTTTATGGCAGATCTGGGGTCTCTGATCATGTCCTCCAGCTTCTTCAGCCGGGTTTCCATCCTCCTCTCGGCGCCCAGCGACATGACTGCGCCGTCGTTGGTGGTTAAAAGTTGGGTTTTAAAAACTAATGAAGAGGCTTTTCCAAACTGTTTGAGTTTACATGTGAACCCTCTTTGTTCCTGGCTAATGGCCGCAGGCCTGGCGGAGCAGCCTTTGGGCTCCCAGCCCACCCAAATCGCTTCCAACAGGAATGGTGTGCACAACGAGGAGAAAATATTCCCAATGCTTCCAAAAACATAAAACTTGCCAAGTGAGAGGGGGCCGTCAGTTAGCAAACCCGCCCGGCTTTAAGCTAGGAATGACGACTTGAACTATCACCTCTCGTTAAGTGGAAGATGCATTTTTTAAACTTGGCGATAAAGTTTGAATTTACCAGCAACAGGCAGCAAAGCAGGGCGTTTTCTTTGCCCCCTTTTTACTCCCCTTTCCTTCTGGGTTTCGACCGCTTGGATTTTTTTTTCTTCCTGGACTTGCTATCTTTAGGAGGGAAAAAATCCGCTTCGTTTCACCCCATTCAACAACGCTTTATCCCGTTAGAAGTGGAGTTTATCCTCGGTGCTGCCACAAGTCCTCCGAACGGGTAATAACGTCTGTTCTCCCGCGCTGAATTTTTAATAAGCACTCGCTCGCCTCTTCCTGGATTTCTTCTCGCATTTTCGCATTTGTCCTCCTCGCTTCAAGACGTGGACGCCAAAAAAAATAAGTTTCTCTCGCAGAAAAAACTCATCCAGCAGCTGAATTCCTCACCGTACACTCACATCTACACACCAACACACACGGAGGCTGTACTCTCGCACTCTCCGCCCCCTGACATCAACACACACACACCGAGGACTCAATTACCCATAATCCATCAGTCCTGCCCTCCAACCTGGATATAGCTTGAGATAAATTTCTCGTGTAATCTTTTAATATCAAAAACTTTAACTCTTCTCTTTAGTAGGTCAAAAGTATCCATTCTTTGTGTAGTTCATAACTGTAATAAGTTTATATTTTTAACAATAAGTACGAGCAAGACAACCACAAAGATGATCAAAAGAAAGTACACTCTTTTCAAATTCTAAGGTCTGAGATTTTAGAATTTGGCAATACAGCTTCAGATGAACTGGGAAACATGACATATTACACCATGTCTTTATTTATTTCGCACAAAATAAGCTGAAACACAATACAATATACTACTTAGGGGAATTCCTAGTGCTGTCACAGAAGCTGTCTTTGCAAAGAGTGAATAAGATAAGATGACAAATTCCTTTTTAAAGTAATCCAGTCTGCATTTTAGGACTTTATATCTTCTATCTGAAGGTGACAGTCCACACTCAAGATGGAGGATATGTAACAAGTTTGGCAGGATATAGGTTTCTCATAAATGAATTGGATGGAGAGGTCCTCAGTTTACTTTAATTTTGCCAGGACAGAAAGATTGACATGCCGCGCAGATATGTCATACTTCGTGATGCACTCCAATACATTGTTTTCTGGAAAGCACCGAACACGGTTAGTTGGCATAACAAAAAAAATTAAAAATAATTCGATGCCTGATGCCGATAATCAAATCCACTTGATTATTTTGAGTACCTCTATAAAAGCAGAAGTTTTAGCAGTTTCCTTGTCTGCACCATTCAGGTGTGTGCAAACACAATATCAAAGAGATACAACATCTGCACAGATCTTAGAAAAGCAATTGCTGCTGCTCATCATTCTGGGCACGGTTATCTGGCTATTTCCCAGAAATTTAAAGTCCATCATTCTACAGTGATAGAGACAGTCTTCCCAGGAGTGGATGTCCCAGCAAATTCACCCCAAGGTCAGAGCATGCACATCTCAAAGAAATTACCCAAGAGCTACATCTTGGACTCTGCAGGACTCAGTTACCATGTTAAATGTTAAAGTTCACAACACGATTAGAAAAACACTGAACAAATGTACCTTGTTTGCAGAGTTGCTCATGAACAAATCACAAGACCTCTGGAACAATGTCCTTTGGACAGACAAGACCAAAGTGGAGATGTTTGGCCATAATGCACAAACACCTCATACCAACTGTCAGCATGGTGGTGGAGAGCTTGTGATTTGGGCTTGTTTTGCAGCCACAGAATCTGGGCACTTTGCCATGAGTCAACCATGATCTCCTCTGTATAGAGTCAAATGTGAGGCCTGACAGCTAAATTTTAGCTTAAACTGTGTCAATGATCCCAAGCACACGAGCAAATCTAGAAGAGAGTGACTGACCACAAAAAGAATGAAGGTGTTGCAATGGGCCAGTCAAAGTCCAGACCACAGCCTGACTGAAATGCTGAAGTGGAGCCTTAAGAGAGCTGTGACTAAACAAAGCTCAGTGAACTGAAACAAAAATGTAAAGAGTGACCAAAATTTCTCCACAATGATGTGAGATTGACCCTAAACATAGGGCTGCTCAATTAATCGAATTTTAATCACGATTACGATCTGGGCTTTCAACGATCATTAAAAATAACTGAGCCGATTATTAGCCCCTCCCTCATTTATCCGCGACACCTTAAAGACCGTCCGTGAAAATATTGTCGGGCATAAACCGGTCCGTGGCGCAAAAAAGGGTGGAGACCGCTGATTAAGAGGACCCGAGGGAAGCTCGGAAAGCTAAGCAGAAGTTATTTGGAGAGGAGAGTGACTGCCGCTGGTTGAAACGAGAGGTAAAAAAAACTTCAGTGGTGTTGCACACTATTTTATTTTATTTTTTTAAAGTTATTGTTAACCCTTTAAAGCCGGTCAGAGCTGCACGCTCCGTTTTGCGTAACTATTTTTAAATCCCTGTAGAACCTGAACCGTGTAAGCTAGCGCAATAATTTGTTTTGCATATGAAACCGGAGGAGTTGTACTTACATCTTATGCCATCAGCTTGTCCTCGGTCACGGTTTCGTTCCACATATAGCTTTGCAAAAATTGCATAAAAAGCGCTTGCAGGAACAAAAACATAATATTCCAGAAACACTTTGCCGTTCCGATCAGCTGTTCGTAACACTTCCCACAGTGAAATGATGCACATGCTGTTTTCTTTGCAAATTTGCATCATAGGATTGTTTTTTGTTTTTTCTGCAGTATATAAAAATTGCTGTATCTCCAAAATAAAACTATGAAGACACTCAAAATAAATTTCCTGTGGTGGGAAACTATTTTTTTTGCAACTTTATTGTATTTAAAGTTTTGAGGGATAAACCTCTTAAATTTCTCCAAGTAGAAATATATGTAAACAAAACAAAAGCGATTTTCAATTTTTTTGTAGTTTATTGCACTTTTTTGCAATTTATGTAATTACTATGGACTTAATGCATAGGGGAGACCGGGGATAGTTGTAACATTTTTGACATTTCTGTCTGTAAATTGAAGCTCTTTTAAGGTAGTGGATTCAAAATGTAATGCAAAGTATTTACATGTCTCTGCTATTAAATAGTGCAGTTATTTTCTCTGCAGCACAATTACCCATTGCATGGTATGGTCTCAAACACGAAGAGTGAAATGTTACAATTAACCCCATAGTCTGGGTTAGTTGTAACATATCCTGGGGTGAAATGTAACACAATGAAATAAGGGTACTAACAAAACATTAACATGTAATCTTTGTTTATTCAACACATGAATGCACTTACATCCATTTATGTAGCTCTGTGTGTGTGTGACAGAATGCAGAAATCTAGCTTTTGAACATATTCCAACCCCCCAAAAAAGACAAGTTATGGAATTTTCTGCAACTGAATATTTCATTAATTTTGGTTGGTCTTCCTTGAGTTTGGCCTCATTGGCTAAGTTGGCATTATAACCTACAACTCTTGCACCAATTTTGAACATAACAATGAAGCTGAAAAAATGTAGTTGTTCACCAGCATCGCAATTCCATTACTTTTTATCATGGCTTACCTTGGTGTGGTTTGCAAAGTGCTTCAGAAAGATGAGGAAATCTGTTTCTTGCACCCATCCTGACTTATTTCCACTACCAGTACTTCCTACTGGTCCATCTCTGACACAGTGGTCTGCATAATGTATGTGTGGGAACACAAACAGTGGAGGAATTGTGTTGCCAATGGCATTACCGCATATACAAATGCGACCAGTGAACCTCTCTCTGCTGATGCCGTTACCCCAACTTGTTTAATATAAGTTAAAGTAATAGTGTGGTAAGTTGTAACATCTGCATTATTGTTACAACTAACCCAGACTGTTGCTGTTACAACTGACCCAGAACTCCTATAGCCATGAACTAGCTAACATTACAGGCAACGGCTAAAACATTAGCACTAAAGACCTACACAGAATATATCCCCATAGACATACAAATAACATAATCTAAGTTTGATGAGTTTAACTGCAAAGCAGATAATGCTATTAGAAATTGAAATAAAGTAGAAAAACTTACTTTTTGGCATACAAATTACTTTTTTTCATGTTAAATTGTCTGTGTTTGACAAAATGTGCTGATTTTTCACATGTGATAGCAGAACTGAATTGGGCATGCACAGGATGAGTCACATCATTTGAAACTTAGCCCTGATTGGAGAAATTGGAAGTGTTACAACTGACCCACGTTACAACTATCCCCGGTCTCCCCTACATATTATTAAAATATGGGCTATAACAGTTGTATTGATGTATAGCAACTTGAAATGCTCCCACAAACGGCACTACAGCATGTAAAAAAAATATATATATATAAGCTCTGGTGGACTTGGTTCTATAGTAGGTCTTAAAGGGTTAAATAAATATCGTCAAATAATCGTGATCTCAATTTCAGTGAAAATAATCGTGATTATCATTTTTGCCATAATCGAGCAGCCCTACCTAAACATGCTTCTACGAGCTATTGAATCATGGGGTGTACTTAGTTTAGTCACACACTGCTTATGCAATTTGGCAGAGCTTTACTTAAATAAAGATGCTGTATAATATAATATAAAAACACAGATAAATAATAAATATTGGTAAAAAAAAAGAAGAAAGAAAGTATACCCTTAAAATTCAACGGGACATAAAAAACTTACTCCTTACCAGGTCTTAAAATTACAATAGCACTTCTAATCAGAGTTTAACTTTAACAAGCACTTGAATATATTATTTATAGCAGAATTAATTTGATGATCAGTTTTTCAATATCAGTTATTATAATAAGTCTCAGTGTTTGCGTTATTATATTTAAAGAAATAAAGAGGCAATCGAACCATCGATGTACCTTCACTTTGCTCAAACTAAATGTCACAATAAAGTTTTTTCCACTCTCTCTTGCATGTGTATGTGTGCAATTTCCCATACAGTAACAGTAGCAGGAAGTGATGCTTTTTAGATTTTCTTTATTTGGAACAGTCAGTTTGCATGAGAGTGTCACAGACAGGCGAGCAGATAAACACACAAACGCCACCTGCAGAAACAGGAATGTTTCTTGGAAACAGCACTCATACCAGCAGATTTATTGTCTGTTTGACAGGGGATGTCTGGGAAATGCAGTCCAAAATAACAGCGACGATACAGGCTCAAAATGATCTACTTCTTGTTTTAATAAGCTTGTCTCATCACTCACAGTAAAGCACTAGGCTAAGATGTGCCATCCTGAGACCCTTGTGCTTCTTTGTAAATGTTATTGAATCATAACTCCATGCCGTTTCACTTGTACTAAACATAGATCTCAGTTATTTTGACCACATTTTAAGAGGCTCACACTCACCTGAATATGACAGTCATAAACACATGGGCAGTTTTTAGTTGATATAGGTGGTGTTTATGTGTAAAGGTGGAGACTATTTAAGGATATTTCAAGTAATGTTATAA